ATGTTTCATTTAGAAACATAAAATCCAGGTTGTTTTGTGGTTATTAAATCATTGATTAGAAATGGTTTATTTTTTAGTGAGGGAATGTTTAAAAATGCTAACTTCATGGCATTGGTTTTTGTCTCAACAGCAATCTTAGTTTGATGCATAACAGGCCGCAGATTAGATGAGTCAGCCGTACGGCTTGAGAAGGCCTTAGACTTTCTATCACTTGATAAAACAGAAATATAGAAAACTACAGGCACACTGAGTTCCCGCTTGTTCTGTAAACATTTGTGAATGTTGCTGCTATCATAGCGGGGACCCGACACATATCACTGAGAGCTGTTATCAATTGTTATTGGTTCACCTATAGCAGATGGAGGAGGATTTGGGCCCTGGCATTGTGGCAGCGGCCAGAGAGCTCTCACAGGAGCTGGGCCCACAGGCTTTGGTGGTTGTGGGGCCTGCCGTTTTTTAATTGATATCTGGGGGCATACACCAGTTCCTCCATTTTCTGTGAGAAGCTTAGAAGTGGAGATGCTGGAGAGAGGGATAGTGTGTCTGGTGAGCGGGGCTGTGTCTCTGGTGTTTCTGGTGGCTGTGATATGTTTCCCTGGCTTCCCTGGATGTTTTCCATAAAGTCGTCCTTGGGTGCTGAGTCTTGGAGCTGTTGTAGTACGTCACAGTCTATCTGTGATGAGCTCTGTGGGCAGGGTTCAGCCGGGATGTCCACGAGCAGTGCTTGTTGTGGCTGTGTGGCGTTATCAGTGTCCTTGTGGGATTCTTCAACCACATGATGACTCGGAAGCTGATATGAAGTCCCGTGGTCACTCATACTCTGTCCAGGTGTGTGTGTGCCATTCAGGATGGCACAAAAGAGGGCATACTTTAGATCTTGTTTTCAGTTGTGGTTTAAATATTGGTTCTGTTTTGTCTGAATATATTTTTATTTCAGATCATAATTACATTTAATTCGACTTACTTTGTAATTGAGATACGCCATCTTGTAGTGGAGTAATTAATTCTCGCATCCTGAATAACCTTTCTGCAGAAAAATTATCTGCTGTTTTTGATCAGTCATCCATTAATATGTCAAATGGTTGTGTTCGTTCAAGTACAATCTTTTAATGAGCATTGCCTTACAGTCTTGAATGAAGTTGCTCCTGTGAAGTCCAAAGCAGCTCGTCTGATAAATTCCACCCCTTGGATCAATGACAGTATCCGCTCTTTTAAGCGTATTTGCCATAAAACTGAGTGTGGCGAGGTGGGCGTGGTTTAGCGAGGTTTGCAGCGGGAGAGAGAGTTGGGAGACCAGAGGGGAGTAAGTGGGTCAAATGCAAATTACACACCTGTGTCTTGTTCCAGTAATTGGTAGTGGTTCAACGGGTCGCAAATCTCACGGTTCGGATCACATTACGGTTTTTGACCCCCGGATCGGGTATAACTTAAATATATATTTTTATCACAGCTGTTTTGTTGTTTGATGATCATTAATGACAGCAGCAGTATTTATAGGCCGCTGTCCCTTAAAGACCTGATGCACGAATCCGATATAACAGGGGAGGCGAACTCCGGTCCTGGAGAGCCGCAGTCCTGCAGAGTTCAGCCCCAACCCTAATAAAACTCACCTGCCTGTAGCTTCCTAGTAACCCTTCAGGCCTTGATTAGCTTGTTCAGGTGTGTTTGATTAGGGTTGAAGCAAAACTCTGCAGGGCTGCAGCTCTCCAGGACCGACGTTTGCCACCCTGCGATATAATGATACACATCACATCCGATTTCTTTCTCAGCTGTTTTCATTCACTTCAGACATAACTGACTGCGTTTACCTGAATGATTGTCGAGATGGGTATTTTGTCATAATTTTATGTGTATGTGTCCGTTTAGAGGATTCAGAAGAGGATTCAGTTCGGTGTTCGCGTGCCATCTGTGCGCGATTCATGTGTGTGCGGCTGTGCACGTAGAGAACAGCGTGCAAGTAACGAATCGAGTTCCCTTTTGCCTTTTCTCTCTGGAATTGTTTAAAATTCGCTTGCTTGTGTAAATACGAACAAATGATAAACGTATACTCTATTATGGTTAAATTTTGCAATTAATCCGCGGATCACATGCATGCCGAACCGTGGGGCTTGGTCCGTACAGATCACGGATCACCTACGATCCGTTTAACCACTAGTAATTGGCGTGGAGAGACCGCATAAAGAGGCCCGGGAGTGAGAAGGCAGGCAGAGGGGGACAGACTGCTGACTGGTGTGCGTGTGTGGAAACTGTCTGCTCTGGAGAGCCCATGTATATTGCTTATGCAACTGTGTTATATTGAGCGCTGGTAGCGCAACGTTCTGTTTATTTACCGAGACCTGAATAAAATCACCAGCAGCAGTCAAGCCGACCCCGTCCTCTTCCTTCTCGATCATTGACTTTGTTACACCGAGCGTCTGTGGAAATCTACTCGACTACTACTACTACTTCACTATCAGTATTTAAAATAACTTTTAATGGATTTTAACAAGGTAAAGGATGCCAGAATTAAGTATTTCTCTAATTTAATATCTAGCAGCAGACATAATCCCAAAATTTTGTTTGACACCATACATAAAATTGTCTCTCCTCCATCACCTGCGGTTCAAATCTCTTCAGCTGATGAGTGCAACAGTTTACTCCATTTTTTTTTTTGTGGATAAGATAAACAATATACAAAATAATATCTCTCTCTCTCTCTCCCTCACTTCAAATACCTTTTGTGTCTCCAGGCCAGTAACCCTGGATAATTTTTCCCCAATAACAATTGATGATCTCACTAAGTTTATTTAGGTCTATGAAAAGTTCTTCTAGTCTTCTGGATGTGGTACTCACTGCCTTGTTTAAAAATGTTATTGACATGATTGGTCCCTGTGTGTTATCTGTAATGAATAATTCATGAACAGCTTGTCAAGTTCCAGGTTATTTTAAACAAGCTGTGGTTCAACCTATTCTAAAGAAAACAAATCTTGATTCATCCTTACCCCAAAATTATAGACCTATTTCTAAGTTACCTTTTATGGCTAAGGTCCTGAAAAAAGTTGTTGTAGATCAGCTCTCAGCTGTTTTAGATGGTTATAATGTGCTTAATAAATTCCAATCTTTCTTTCGTCATATGCACTCAACTGAAACTGCTCTTCTTAGAGTTTTAAAGGATTTGTTTATGCAAGGTGATGCAGGGGAATGCTCTGTACTAGTTTTATTGGATCTCACTGCTGCTTTTGATACAGTTGATGACTGTATATTAATTGAGAGGCTTGGACAGGAGGTTGGTATCTCTGGAACAGCCTTGAGTTGGTTTTCATCATACTTGTCAGACAGGTCTTTCTCAGTAAGAGTTCAAAATTATACCTCAACAACAGCATCTGTGTCCTGTGGTGTTCCCCAGGGATCTGTTTTGGCCCCATTGCTTTTGCTTTATATTTGCTGGGGAAACTGATAAGTAATTTTGAAGGCATTTCGCTATCATTGCTACGCAGATGACATTCAACTATATATTTCTTTTGCGTCTCATGAAATTACAAAATTGTCTACTCTTTTAAGTTGTATAAACTCTATTAAAGTCTGGATGGCAAATAATTACTTCGTTAAATCCTGAAAAAAACCGAAGTACTTATCTCAGCTCATGTAGGTGTTCTCCCAAAAGTAATGGAAGTCTTGGTTCTTTATCACATTCTGTTAAATCTACCCTTTGTAATTTTTAATTCAGGGGAAGTCGTGGCCTAATGGTTAGAGAGTTGGACTCGTAACGCTCTCTCCCTCCTTCAATACCACGACTGAGGTGCCCTTGAGCAAGGCACCGAACCCCCACCTGCTCCCCGGGCGCCGCAGCATAAATGGCTGCCCACTGCTCCGGGTGTGTGTTCACGGTGTGTGTGTGCACTTAGGATGGGTTAAATGCAGAGCACTAATTCCGAGTATGGGTAACCATACTTGGCCACATGTCACTTCACTTCACTTAATTTAGGTGTTCAAATGGGACAAGCCTTCAGTCTTGATCAACATGTGAATTTATTTGGTTTGTAACTGCTTTTATCAGTTGAGAAACATTGCAAAATTGAGGCCAGTTGTGTCCACAGCGGAGATGGAAATGATTATACATGCATTTATTTCCTCCCGCCTTCATTATTGCAACTCTCTTTTTACTCGTCTTAGTAATTCATCCCTCAAACGTTTACAAGTGGTTCAAAATGCTGCTGCTAAGCTTTTAACCAAGTCATCAAACAGATCTCAAGAACAAGTGTCACAAAGTGCTTTACAATAGAAATATAAAATTAAGAATAAAAATAGACATGACAAAATTAAAAATGTCCACCTTTTTAAAAAAAAAAAAAAAAAAAAAAAAAAAAAAAAAAAAAAAAAAAAAAAAAAAAAAAAAAAAAAAAAAAAAAAAAAAAAAAAAAAAAAAAAAAGAGGATTCTGTGCCTTTGAAGTAGTTGCTCCCAAGTTGTGGAATGCTGTTCCTTTGGAACTGAGATCTGTGGACTCGGTGGAAAATTTTTTTTTTATTCTTCATTTTATATTTCTGTTGTAAAGCACTTTGTGACGCTTGTTCTTCAAAGGTACTATAGAAATAAATATTACTTACTCTGTTCTATTGTGAATAAAATATTGGCTCATGTGATTTTAAAGTGTTTTAGTTTTCATTTTATTCAAATTTAAAAAACGTCCCAACATTTCCGGAATTTGGGTTGTGTGAACTTGGGTACATTTTGTTCAAAAGTTTATGTTAGATAACTGTGTAGCTGATCAAATATATTTAATAGTTCTCCCTATAGAAACATGGGATTTGTGCCTATACTATTTTAAAAATAATAATTTCAAGATCAATGTATGTCATTCATGGAAAGTTTCAAGGACGTATAACTTATAAAAATGCATCAAAATCATCAACATTTTACAATTGTCAATAGCACAATAGCAATTGTCTACTTTCGCTGTTATATAAGGATTCACTTTTATGTCTTTTCACATTTCTCTGTTTTTTATGATTTACTGATAAGAAAACAAGGAGAATGAAGAACTAGATGAAGTTGAGGAGAAAAATATTGTCAAACCCGAAGAAAAACCTTTGAGTCGCTCTCAAACCAAACAAAAAGATTTAAAGAAAAGAAGAGCCAAGAAATCTTTAACCTGCACTCAGTGCAGAAAGTTTTTCACAAACAAACAAAAAACCTTGATGTTCACATGAGAGTTCATACTGGAGAGAAACCGTTCACTTGGGATCAGTGTGGGAAACGTTTTGCACAATTAGCAACCCATAAGATACACATGAACATCCACACGAGAGATAAACTATACGCATGTGATCAGTGCGGGAAAACATTTTTAAGGGCTTCAGACCTGAAGAAACACCTGAGAGTTCATACAAAGGAGAAACCACATTCATGTTATTTGTGTGGAAAAAGATTTTCATGTCTACAATATTTAAAAAAACATCAGAAAATACATACTGGTGTGAGAGAGTACATGTGCTTTGAGTGTGAAAAGACTTTTACTACAGCAAAGTGTTTAAAACAGCACCAGAGGATTCACACTGGAGAGAAACCTTACAAGTGTTCACACTGTGACAAGAGATTCATTCAGTTAGGAAATCTGAAAACACATGAGAGGATCCACACTGGAGAGAAACCGTACACATGTGATCAGTGCGGTAAGAGTTTTGCACTAAAAGAATACCTTACGACACATATGAGAGTTCATGCTGGAGAGAAACCTTTCACTTGTGATCATTGTGGAAAGAGCTTTACTCACTCATCAAACCTTAAGGAACACGTGAACATTCACACGAGAGATAAACTATACGCATGTGATCAATGTGACAAAACATTTTTGTGGGCTTCAGTCCTGAAGAAACACCTGGGAGTTCATACAAAGGAGAAACCACATTCATGTAATTTGTGTGGAAAGAGTTTTTCACGTTTACAAATTTTGAAGGAGCATCAGAAAATACATACTGGTGTGAGAGAGTACATGTGCTTTGAGTGTGAAAATACTTTTACTACAGCTAAACATTTAAAACTGCACGAGAGGATTCACACTGGAGAGAAACCTTATAAGTGTTCACACTGTGACAAGAGATTCAGTCATTCAACAAATATGAAAACACACGAGAGGATTCACACTGGAGAGAAACCGTACAAGTGTTCACACTGTGACAAGAGATTCAATCATTCAGGACATCTAAAAACACACGAGAGGATCCACACTGGAGAGAAACCGTATCACTGCACTGCATGTGGGAAGTGTTTCAATCAATCATCTTCTCTACACAGTCATACAAGAAACATTCACAGTAAGTAGCTCATCTTCAGATCCAGCACTTTCAGATCTGATGCTGTGTCCTTAACAAATGCAACACAATAACGCATCAAGCAATAAAATATCATCTGGATAAATCTGTTCTAACCAGTCATTACAAGTGACATTACAAAGAAACATTATCTAAAGTTTTCACAGTGAATAAAGTTCATCTTCATCTTCAAAACCAGCAGATTCAACTGTGAGATTCAGATCAACTCAAAGATGGAGTTCCTCCCCAAAGAACAATTTCAGAATGTTTTATTCTTGTATATTATTTTGCTTCATGATATAAATGATATCATTGTGCGTGCTTATGAGTTTCATATTATGTTCAATTGTCTTATAATGCATATGTATCACTTGTAGTTTGCTTACTCTTTCAAGAAGGTAAGTAGAAGTTTTTAGAAACCGTTCTTGTTCAGGAAGCTGAAGAAGAGACTAACACTTTTAAGAGACACCAAGATTTAATTAAAATGTTGTTCTTTGTTGTTCTTAAAACAAATTGTTATTCTTACACATGTATTTAGGAAACACAAAGGCAGGACATACTGTCATGTAGATTTGTAACTTGATTCTTCTGTGCTTCTCTTGTAAGTAGGGGATGGCACCTGAAACCGGTATTAAACAAGCTCTGGAGCTAAATTATGAAAGACTGTAGTATTCATAAGCTCTGACATTATCGGTTCTACTTTCGGTACTGGAGAAATTAAGAAAATACTCTTAGTACTTATTATTGCTACATAAACATTATCAAGATCATTGTATCTTGCCAATCATTTTCATTATTCTTGCACTTCTGTGCTATTATTAATCTAATTGAATTTTCAATTTTGAGTTTGGCTTCCAAGGATTATAAAGACAATATGTTTGAGGTAAAGCAATCTGATGTGTTGGTATATTGGATCCATGCATTAGTTCTTAAAATTGCATAAACCTGTAGTTTATTACTGTTATTAAATATAACAGTAATAAACTACAGGTTTATGTCATTTTTGTTCAAACATGCTGAGTCTTTGCTATAGATTTTTACATTTCAGATTTTCTGTAGAAAAAAAAAGAATCCCAGACTTATGAGCAGTATCGTGAGAATAGTAATACCGTTAAAACCTTAATGATACCCATCCCTTCTTGTCAGTAGAAAAGAGAGATCCATCTCATTAGTTTTCACTTTTATTTTCTGTAATTATTGATCACTTTTGCTTTGAGTAGATATTGATTAAATGTTAACTTTTTATCAATACATTATCTTTACTTTTTATATTTTATCAACAACTTTTATTATCTGCTATAATTGTATTTGCATTAGGAAAATATTTGCTTTTGGGGCTTTCTGTTTTAAATTTCTCAATAAAGACATTTAATTTAATTTAATTTAATTGAATTGAAAGCCTTTATTGTCATTGTATTTTTCTGCACACAATGAAATTAAGAGCACTGCTCCTGACTGGTGTTAGAAAACAAACATATAACCACAGACAATACATGAGACTATTGACTGTACAGTAGAATTATAAAAGTATATGGGTCATTCTATAATTGGCAGTATATTTGGAATTTGACAATGTGAAGAAAAAAGTTTTCCTCAAACATGACCTTACGTAAAACACTTAAAATCAAGTACTTATTCTATTAGCCAAGCTTACGGTTACCTGGTTTCGAGATTTATTTATTTTTTATTCGAAAAGCAGATGTTAGATACAGACCTGCCAACTTGTACACATTTTGACCTTAAAGGGATCATATGACGTTGCTAAAAAGAACATTATTTTGTGTATTTGGTGTAATGCAATGTGTTTATGCGGTTTAAAGTTAAAAAAGCATTATTTTCCACATACTGTACATTATTGTTTCTCCTCTATGCCTCGCCTTTCTGAAACGCGTCGATTTTTACAAAGCTCATCGGTCTGAAAAGCGAGGTGTGCTCTGATTGGCCAGCTATCCAGTGCGTTGTGATTGGCCGAATGCCTCAAGCGTGTGACGGAAATGTTACTCACAGCAAAAAGTCCAGTGTTAAATTAACTCACACAGAGTTGATTTCAACACTTTTTGAGAGTTTATATAGCTCCACACTCTCCGGAGTTACATTAACACTTTCAAAATAGTTAAATATTTAACACTATGCCAGAGTTCCTAATTTGACTCTGGAAAAAAAAAAAGTGTTAAAACAACACTAAAATGGATACAGAAAAACAACACTGTTCAGAGTTGCATGTTTTAGGTGGTTAGAATTAGTTTAAATCTGTACAGTCTCAAAAGATCTACAAAATAATGCTACATAAACTACAGCACACAAAATAATTTCCATTAACTTGTTTATTTTTGATTCTCACTTGTAGTGCAATTTGAAGTCGAATTAAAACATTACAAAAGAAGGTATGATATACAAACTTTCATCTGCAACACTGTATGAACTTTGAATATCAAATGGCTTATAAAATTTAATCTGACATTTTTATAATACACCTCTCCTCACTTCGTAGTACTCTGAATGCACGAAGATGCTCATCAAACTTATCTGTGAGTAGTTTGTTTGTCAACAGATAAATGTGATTGTCAACCAAAAGTACATCACTTATTTGACAGAAGACTGGCATTTCATTTTCTATTGCAGTGCACACCACAAGCTCAGCTCTATATTCTACACCATCAACTTTAACCCAACTGGTTGAGAAAACATCTTTTGATAGGAACATTTCAAGCATTTGATTGCTGACCACATTCTCATCCCCTATGGAAAATGATTTAATTGGCCCAAACTCATTATGTTTGAGGGTGAAGGTTTCTTAATGGTAAGCAATGGCCCATCTGATGCTTTTTAGCTAATGGTTTTATGTTTTTGAAATTAAAAAAATAATATATAATACAATGTGCTACTAACACATATATAATAAGGGGCCAATTTTCCTTATAGAAGAGGGGTAATGATGTAATGATGTTTGGGAATCACATTTTTATGTGGATACAAGTACTTAAATAATTTGTAGTGGTCAGCAATCAAGTGCTTCAAATACACTGTCAAGCCTGAAGTGAGACAAGGTGAAAACACAATGTTCATTATTTGAAGTAACAAAGACTTGCAATGCATTTCAAAGATTTCTTGTCCACGAAGGACCACCTTAGGATCATCCTCACTGTATACTGTTTGATAATCATTCTTTTCAATTAAACAAAGGTGACAGAAATGATGGCTACTAAATGACTCATTAAAACCAAGAATTTAATGCATCCCTAGATTATCACCAGTGATTTGTGCGATGGTGCCATATATCTGCTCATCTGAGAATGGAAGACTTAATCCTTGGCTTTCAAGTATCTTTATATCATTTATCAATGGTGACAGTATAACATCAAAACCGTACTTGCTTAGATCTTGTGTGTGAAAAAGTGCTAACAGATGAATGTTCATCAGAACCGAGTTAAATTTTGGGGGCAAGTTTCTTACAATAAAATAAAGACAGCTAATTTTGTGGATACTACGTTTGGAGCCAAGGGGGTTAGCTGTTTCAAAATCATCATAGTATATTTGAATTTGTAATGCATGTCTCTTTGTTGTAAATAAAGGGTGGGATTTAAAACAACTTCCATCGCTAAAATTTGTAAAAGTGTCAGGCTCTGATCTACAATCTTTCCTTAGGAGATCACAAATGTCTGGATTTCTGCACATGCATTTCAATGTTTCTAAAATTGGCACATATATAAAAGTATCATTCACTGGTACTTGGTCATAAGTACCAGATTTCTTATTCAATTTGTTGTCATACCGCATAGTGTTATCCCAACGGGCTCTACAACTCCCCATTTTTCTTTAAAGTATTTATTCCGTTTCCATTCTGTATTCAGATTTGTGAATGGGTTTTCTAATTTTTCAAAAGATTCATTTATTACAGTTTTGTAGGGGTCATTTGTAGGCAAAGCAGAAAGTATGTTATGCTTTGCTTGCGAGTGAAGCTCATCTGTTAGCTCCTCTAAATCTCCCACAATTGAGGACACCAAACTGTTTGGAATCCCACTTGCTTGTTTTTTGGCCACGATGGATTCACACAATTCTTTAGTTGAATTTTTAGTAAGCCCTGAATCATTGTTATCAGATGAAGCACTGGAACAAGGAGATAGATGCTGGGGATTCATAAGGTCCTCCAAAGCATCTACTTGAGATGAGCTTGCAACTGGCTCACTTGAGGAACATCCAACAGTTGAAGTTGGAGCAACCAGCTGAACATTGCTATGAACACTATTAAGGTGCTTACGAAAATTTGCATGTTTGGAACTGATGCCTACAACCTTGCTGAGAACAAATTAATTTGAACTTAGATCCAGGATAGTAACCATGTTCACCTCTTAAATGTGAAATCAATTGTTGACCGTCTGGGTGCTCGTTTTGACAAATAAAACAGATCAGCATTCTGTCAACATCATACTGCCCGACTTTTAAGTTAAGGTTACTGTCTGGTTGAGCAGTCTGGCTCTCAAATCTCTTACCCTGGGAGACTCCTTCATTTTCCCTACATCAATGTTATACACTGTTGTCTGCAGGAATGTGTAAAAGTTCACAAGTGCACTATCATAGTACAAATTGAACACAAAATGTGCCTTGAAAAGTTCATCAAATACTCCAAGGGAGCGGTTTGCCTGGCATGGGATGAGATGTTTATCCAAGGCGATGTAGAAGCTGTCAATCTTGCTTTTCTGGCGTCCAACAGCAAGGAGGTACAGATGCTGACGCTGGTTGTTGTTGAGGTGCTCCTCCAAAACTGCAGCATGACTAAAGTTGAAATGAACATTGAATATTAGACACAAACATAATGTCCAGTCACAGAGAAAACAACATTATTAAAGTGATTGTTCAAACAACTCAATGGCTAGTGAAATATGTGAATGCATATGAAGACTTGATTTTAATCTCCATGTTTGAGCAACCCAAAACACAATATTAAAATGTCAGTACCTTATTGAAAGATTACAAGTCTTTCAGCCGCATCACATGCACTGATTTTTGGAGACTTCAGTCCTCCTGGTGATGGTGGAAGGAGATGTATCAGTAAAAGAAGGGATGCCATTTCCTGGTCGTAGACTGGAGACGAAATTCACATGAATTAATTAATGTAAAACTTCAAATGAAATATTTTAAGTTTAAGAATAGAGAGCATTTTAAACATTCACCTGATGTGTTTATGTAGTCTATTTAAATACTCTTTTTTTATGTGGTGTAATTTATTTAATTATTTTGTATTAATCCGGAAAACATCCAATCTCATAGGTTGTGAAGTTTGCTCATTTTAATATTTTTGTCATCAAAACAAAACATATAGTAACTGTAACTGCAAATATAGCAAATGCGTAAAAACAAGTGAATCAAATACAACATACTTGTTTCATGAAGGTCACTTCCTTCAGGACAGTCTGCTGAGAGCAGCAATTGACTCAGCTCTGCTGTTGAAGTAAGTTGCTTGGCCTCTTTAATGACATTTGGCCTGAAAAACGTGTCCCACTTCTGAAGCAGCCTGGAGGATGTCTCAGCGTCAAACAGGAGAGTGAAGTCTTGATCCACCTTTAAGAAGATATTAAACTATAAACAATATTCTCAAATATTGCATGCATGCCTTTGAAAACATGTTATTCCAAACTTACCAGCCCTTTTGTATCTAGGAATCTTGGGAAGGTGGAGAGGATATCAGCACTAGAGCCTGGATCTTTAACAAGCTTCTGGCGATGCTGAAACGTCTCTCTCATCTTTTGGAATATTAGGGACTTGTCTGTGGTATGGTTGAGCAAGGACATGGTCTCTCTGCAAGCATCCCCATGAAGTTGCCCTTCAAAATTAGTAGCCCTTTGGCATTTTGGGTCTCCTGGAGAAACATCACGAGGGCTGTCTAGTGGCAAAGATCCTTGTCGAATCTTCCTGTGGACTGTTTTCATATGCCAAGCAATGTATCCTGTGTTGCTTGCAGCATCATAAAAGTGTTCCTTAAAAGAATCAAATTTCTATGTCACAGATATAACATTGCAAGTATAACATGAAAGGGTCATGCAGACAGTGACTTACGTAGCCTTTCTTGGAATATGGATCTCTGAGGGTAGGGAACAGCATCACTATGCCAAGAGCATACTGTTCTCTGATAGCTTTAGTAGGGAGTTGCCTAAGGGAAGATATCAAATTGGTCTCAATTTACACAATGGTCATGCAGTTATTTGTTTAAAAAAAAAATGCCCATGTGTATCAATCATGTGAGCCACCAGTGTGTTAATCATTTGTCGTCTTGTGGCATCTGTAAGGGTTTCTGTTTCTTGATACTCCTGTAGTACTGCTTCACCACCAGACTTCAATTTTAGAACGTCTTCAACCAACTAAAAATTAAAAAAGAATATAATAATAAAATTAAAAAATGACCTTGGTGGTTCATAAATTACTACAAATTCTGTCATTTGCATCATTTTCATTTCTGGGTGAACAGAACCTTAAGGAGACTCACGTAAAAAGCTTTGTTCTAACCTGTTTTGCAGACAGTGCAGATGTGTCCTCTTTTCTTTGTCTCCTGTTAGGGACCTCATCTAAGATTACAGTCGATGCACTTAAACCGTTGCTATTGTCAGACTTCACAGATATGGAAGACAAAGAGTCCGAAAATTCTAAAGAATTAAAGTATTAAAATATTACAAATATTGTGATGACCAGCACAAGAATCAGAAATAAGAAATAGCTAATTTATCATATTTATCCTGAGTTGCTTGATAACACTAGACTTCTTTCACATTCAATAAAACTCACCATCATTTGAGAAAACAGTCAGCACCACATTGCCTTGTCCAATGAGGTCGCTGAATATTTCTGCATTGACTTCTGTCCATGTTGCATCCTTGTATATAACTTTTGCATCAGGTGGCAAGCAAAATCTCTCAATGACTGAATTTTTTTTTTTTTTTTTTTTAAGTTGACATCCTTTCTTGCTTCACAACAAATGAGTTGAATACATATATCTTTATGATGCAAGCAAAATTTTACGATTTTTTTCAATGTATCCCCTTCTATAAAACATATGATAAAGGCATATACAGAAATGAGGCAACAACATGAGAGCTAGGATAATACACAGAATTTATCAGATTTTAATCAAATTCTTAGTTATTTTAATTGAGTGGGGAAAAAAAAACTTTTAGGGGAGATTGCATAAAGTCAGACCTCCCTTCAATGCAATCCAGCTTCACACACTTCTGCTGTTCGTTGTACTTGATCTGGACCAACATTTTACCTGGAACATGCAAAAGCGTTTGGCATTGTAAATCGGTGTAAATGAAGAATACTGTATGGATGGATGCACGTCACATCGTTTCTGTTGTAATATCACAATATACAGAAACTGCACCGTACTTTTTCTCCAGTGCCGATT